TGACAGATTCGCTTTGACAGATAAGATGAATTGTATGAAAATGCACAAAGCATGCCACATAAATCGTTGAAGCGGCAGCGCGAAGCGAAAAGATGGTCAACTCCCATCTTTTTGCGCGCTTTGACAATCAGCCGGTTTAATATTTATTTTGTTTCGTCCAAATTCGGGTTTTCATGCAGAAACATAAAACTTAATTACATTGCTGATAATTTTAAATCAAAATAATTAAAATCCACAGCAACTTTGATGAGTAAAAAAGCGGTACAACATTGTTTTCTTGGCGTTCATTGTGGCATACCTTTTGCGTCTGGCGCTTTGCTGGCAAAGTTATAAATGTCACGCAAAGCTACAAAGTTTTATCTGGCATCAGCTTTAGACTTTCTTACTTGTTCTTTGCAAAGTTTGTGTCTTTGGACGAATCATTCGTGAAATGTTTCGTTTGTTTTGAACTCTGTGTATGGACATACTTGGATACATATGTACATACATATGATTAGTTTGTTGTGTCAACCACATACTGCACATGACTTCGAAGCGATGCTTTGCCTTTCGGTTATAAATGTGTACACACATACATATGTATGTATTTAGCATGTTCATTCAGTGATCGCTGTTTAGCTCAAATACGTTTATGTGCGTATGTATGTGCAGTCACGTCGCTCAAACACATCTCTTTTGCCTTTGTGAGCTGGTGTTTGATCGGCACTGATGTACAGATTTTTCGCGTAGCTATGCGCTGTATTTGGCAACCAAATAGGCTTATGCTTGTACGTCTTTGTAATTTTTTATAACTTTACACCCAAAAAAAGGGTGCTTATCTTCCAAGAATAAAAATATAAGTATGCCACTCTGCGTCTTTTTACAAATGCTTCGTTTAAAAAAAAAAATATTAAAATCGGTTTAGTACTTTGAGAAATAAGTCGTTACAAACGTCCTCCATATAATCAATTTTATATAATAGTATAGATATATGAACGCACGCTGTTTGGTCCACCAATACATACGCGTACGAACAACAGCGGACATGTTTTCTACCTAACATTCGCGAACGCGAACTATCTGGACTGGTTTTATGCTTCTCGTTCGCGAAGGAGAATCAATACAGAATATTTGATACGTTCACCTTCGCGTTCGCGTACGAAGGTGAGTGAATATTTCCGAACCCTGGTTTGGGGGTTATTAGAACCAGTGCACGGACTTTACCACTTTATTGGTAGATCTACCAACTTTTTAGCTGTATTTTATTTTCTACAATTTTTACCAACAAAGGCTTAAAATCTACCAATATTTTTTCGGAAAGAAAACAAAAAGATTTAAATGAACGCAGTGTATACATATTTTGCCATCGAATACACCTAAAATAAATATGAAAAGTTAACTCTGACCATGGCCAATTTAAAAGTGAAATTACATCTCTATCAGCTGTTTATGGAAATATTTTTCGTTAGCAATACTTTGTGTAGCAGACTGCCAAATGAATGGGTTGCAAATTTCAAGCATTTCAAAACTAATTTTTACCAAACAATTTTGTAGTGCAGAGTAATTGTTTTTTTTTTTTTTTTTAATGTAGAATAAAGGCACCCGTGTTCGAGTCAAATTCGGATCGAAATTTCTTTTTGAATTACGGCATTTGGTGGCGAGTTTGCTTTTTCAGCTTAAAATATATTTAAGACAAACGGCTGTCATTTTATTTTATTCGATTCGAATCGTGATTCATTCGATCACGGATGCCATTATTCGGGCCCATTTTTAAGTTTTTTCTTGAATGTTTTGTTGGCGTAAAATACATTTTTTGTTGTATTATAAAAAAATACAATTTATTCCAAGGTGAATTCATATAAGGTGATACCAGAAGTTCAAAACGGCCACTAACAAATTTTACGCGTAATTACAGTAAGAATTTCAACAAATACATCATTTTGACAATAAGAATCACCAATGCGAAAATCTAGCTGCTCTGATAGCACTACCTTACCTGATTTCGCCTTCATTTATTCTATATGAGTAAAACCTATCTAATATTGTTTCTTTTAAAAAAATCTACCAACTTCTACCAATTTTGTATGTAAAATCTACCACTTTTAATTTTTTTGAAGTCCGTGCACTGATTAGAACCCAGATAGGAGCTTGAAAACTATTAAAGTCGAGTATACACAACTTTGGAATACTCGATTTGTAACTTTGAGTTTTATTTTTGCCAAAAAATGTAAAAGGCAACAATAACCGATTATTTGCAAATTTTAACTTTTATTTTTGCCTTAAAAAAATAAAAAACAGAATTAACCGATATTATTTGCTCAAACTTACATTTTTTGCTTTGCAATAACCGGTACGGTCTCTGGGTAAGAATGATAAGTAAGTTGGCAAATCTAATCTTCTTAGAAGCAGACAAGTGTCGAATCCTACACTTTTTCCTAATGACAACAAGATTTTTCACAATAGTTTCTTTGCGCTCCTGAAAAGTAACGATTTTCACCTTCGATAGTTTAACATGGTAGCGACGATATCTATGATTTAAATTGAAATTGGCTAGAAAAAAGTTAAAATAATTATTATATATTTTCTGTTACTATGAATTTAAATCGTTTTGGATATACAAAATATATGTATATAAACACTGGAATATAAAATTTAGCCTTGTTTTTCGTATTTAGCTCTGTAAACTCCTTTTGAGTCATATTTATCCAGTAGCAATTTCCATTCCCCTGGTCGGTTAACCCGAAGAAAATTAATGACCTTTTGAGAATTTTTCCTCTGGCTGTCGGTACACTTGGAACATTCCGTCTGCAATGCATCTGGTAACAATTCTACAAAAAAAGTTTACGCAATTATTTAGTCATGAAAATGCATAAGCATTAAACTAAAACTTACTTTTTAATTCACGGCCCTCAGGAGTGCAAGGTCCTTTTTCCATAAGGCACTTAATATAGTTGGTTAGAATACGATTATTTGACAAAACTCCGTCTACATCAACATTATCAAATTTGTTTGTGTACTGCTTTTGACATGATGCGTGCTGAACAGCAATAATCACCAATAACATTAAAATTGCTTTCATATTGGCCTGAAATCATAAATTTATACGTATGTATCAAGGCACATTAAACAGGTAGTATCAGTAGAGCAAAAACAACATTTGCGTGTATTTTGTTGTTGCTTCTGGTATCGAAAGTGTCAAAGACTGTTCTGAATTTTTTCTTCTAAATCAAAGCGTGCCATGTGAAATACAAAAAAATATAAAAAATAAAAAATTGAAGTTGGAAAAAATAAAAATTGTTGCAACTTTCTTTCCTAGTAAATTTGTTTACTTCTCGAAGCATTGATCCATCCTTTACAAGGGCCAGTAATCAGCGGTTGTGCTGCTGAGTTGGGCGAACGTTCCAAAAGCTGCTATTCAATCGCTTGTTTTGTATGGAAAAAGGTTTCACATGCAAATGGATTTTAACAATTCAGAATTTTTGTGAGAAAAAATTAAAAATATTTGACATGTTCGAGACCAAATAATTTGAAAATAAATCAAATCAGCTGCTCTACTGATACTACCTGTTCAATGTACCTTGGTATGTATGTATGTTAAAATTATTTATATGAGGTAATTTGCTAAGCAGTCATGTAATAATATTAATTGACAACTGAAAGTAACATATGTACATATAAGCAAATAATTTTGATACCAGATACCCTTACACTTAAGAAAAAAAATTTAATGGTACATGTCGTCGCTAATATGTCAAACTATCGAATATGAACATTGGTACTTTTCAGGAGAACAAGGAAAATGTTGTAAAAAATGTTCTTGTCATTAGAAAAAAGTGTGGGATTCGCCACTTTATTATAACCAGTATCCTCTGCTTCTAAGAAGACTCGAAATTTGACGATTTGCCAATTTTTGCATCACTCTAAATGCATTCGATAATTTGACATGGTAGCGACGATGTAGTAAATTCCACCTCCAGATATTAGCTGCTTTTCTTTACGAATACAGAAATGGACACAGATTTCTTGACAATGGTAGATACCCATAAGCTACCATAAGAGAAGTACTTTTTATTGGAAACAGTTTTCAAATGTATACCATAATTAGCATTTAGAACCTAGCGTCGAAACGCTAAATGTGGAGGAACTTTGTCATAAAACATCCCTATTACTATGAATACTTGTGTAGGTAATACCTCGTGTGACTCATATAATATTTGAAAACATTGTTGGTAAACAATGAAAGAGTTTTTGCTTTTACGGGCGAGAAAACAATGCTAAGGGCCGGTTGCTCAAAGCCTGGTTGACACTAATCCCCGGTTAAACATCGTTATCGACGTTACCGACACCATGTTATTTGCATGGAGCCGAAAACGTCGATAACGATGTTAATCGGTGATTAGTGTCAATCAGGCTTTGAGCAACCGGCCCTAAGTGAAACTTATTATTCTGTTTTGCTTTGATTTGAAAGAGGGCAGCGCAAATGGTTTTACTTGACTGTACACTATTGCACACTTCAGTCAATGCAGTAATGAAGCAAATACCCTTGAAAATAAATGAAGTGGAACTCAATACTTGCTCGCAATCCAAACAGATACTGTACCGTCGTTTATGCAATGACAATATTTGTTTGCTAATTGTAAATCACAGCACACGGCAGTGCGAGCAAATGACGAAAGCAGTCTCAGTAGCCTAGCTTATATGTACACCAGATTTGGAAGCTTTTATCCAGACCTCCAATCGACATGATTGAGGAATCGCTGGAAAGGCCTTGCGGTGTGTTCAGCGTGTCCAGAAAATGTATTAAAGTTTCGTAAGTGATCCGCCAAATTCTTAAAAATTAGGCTAAAGGGTTGCGAAAATATTACGGTTTTTTGGTTTTGTCGATTTACGGGGGCATGCAGGTACACTAAACATATTTAGTATTATTCTATAAGACAATATCTTTTCAACGATAACTTTTTTCATTTAATTCCGCCTACTAGTTAAAAAGAGATAGAGCTAAATAGATTTTGGTTCGTGTCTCCACTACATCATGTTTTGGTATAATATGTAAAAGGATTATTTAAAAATGTTTCGTTAATGTTACTTATTTTTTATTTATATAAATACATCCTTTAAATATATTTTAATTTTAATGTTAAAAATCTGGCAGCACTTTAGGTTAGATTAGGATAAGTTATTGTGGCAGACCCACGATCGGCACTCACCTACACGATATGTATTTGCACATGTAAATGCTACTATTCTGCATGTACTCGTATGTATCATATATTAAAACGCATCAAGTAGCGTTTACATATGGAAATACATGTCGTGTAACTGGGCTCTTAGACATTCAATTGTCCATTGTACTATACCACACTACATACACAAATTCTTAGAACGGTAACTATGTTAAACTAAGAGAAGCGCTGGGTGCTCACAACAAAGTTCCACAGGTAGCTGATGTCCACTCGGGAGAGCCCTTCGGGAGTGTTGATGCAATGCGCACCGAGGTGCTTAAGTCTTAAGGGATCCGTGACGATATTGAATCGCACCGCGTGGGTTCCTAAAGGACAATGTCCGGTCAGTACACCTTTAAGAATCGAGAGTTGGCGTTTAGCCAGCTGTAGCAGCCCTCTGGGACCCAAATCAGCTTGATTTGGAATTATTCCGAGGCGGTAGAGAGAAAGGTCAGGCATTCCCCGACCACACCCAGAAAAAGGTTTAGTTATAATTACAAAGATTTGGTTATAGTGACCAAGTGGCATAGTTGGATATGGCGAAATAAATATGTAGTTCACGAAAGTCTGCAGTTTTCTTGAGACTTCTGGTTGGGACAAATGTATATTTGTTAATAATTACAAAACGACTACCTTGATTGGACAATATTGTTAGTTAAATAAAATCATTCTTGAGCAAATATAAACAATGCTTTGGTTGATGCAAGTTTTCAATTAGTTTTGTGAATTTGCTGTGGACTTGAATCAGCTTATCGTTTATTATTGGAAAAAATGTTTCAGTTTGACACAAATACAAATTTACTCGATGGTTTTTGTGTTTACTTTCTTCTTTTATTTGCATATATTAAGCATAAAAAATACATACATATTTACATAAATAGTTACTAGTGTAAATAATACATATGTATATGGCGATAAGAATTTCCTAAAAAGAAAAGATAAAACAGGAACAGTCGTGCGAAAACCCAGGTCAATATCTGCTGGAAGTGCTGGTTTAAGTATAATGCTTTGCTTTTCCCTTGGCTAAATATACACTTTCAAATTATAGTTTACATGAAATATATATCTACTGAGAAACCCCGGTTTGCATCAAACTTTATATTTCTAAATAACTATGAGCGCACCGAAACAACTCGCGGCGATAGCAGAACTGAAACTGAGACAAACAAGTCTGGGCATGTCATAGCGCATACTTTTCTTTCTATACCTAGCGCAGTGATCGAAATAATGGTCGGCATACTAGCACATTCAAACGATTCAATAAGTGGAACTATGTGCATTACTCAGCTGGCGCTCTTCGTATGTGAAACACACATGTGCTGAGAGAGCGCTCAGCATTCTTTAGGGGTGGCTCACAAGCATGAATATTTTCTCTCTCAAACCAAATCGTGGTTGCCTCAACTAGGATTTGGTAACTATGACTAAACCATGGTTGAAAGAAAGCTGATCTGCATTAGCAGAGCCTAATAACATCCTTTTACGAATGGAATTTGTAGAAATATGCTTCAAAGAAATATTTATTAGTATTTACCAAACCCTTCAACTAAATTAACAATTTGGTACAACCTAGATGAATATTAGAAGTTTTAATATATTTAGTTATAATTACCAACCCATGGTAATAGTTCCCAATCCTTGGTAAGAGTTCCCAAATATTGTCAAAATTCGGGAACTTAATATCTTTAGTTGTCTAAACTAATCCTTTATCTCAGTGTAGTCGACAGTACATTGGTGCATAGCAAATCGGGTGTTTTTTTATAGCGGCCAGCTTTCTCCATAGACTACCATTGTCCCATTCGTCCCTTTGAGGGTTGTGTGTGGAGAACGATCCTTTTGGGGCTAGCCTCGGAAGGCTTCAGTCCATTTCTTCCGTTAAGAAGTCGAAGCTTTCGAGAATTGTCAAGTGCCCGTGCGCTGGGTTGTAAGAGAACCCAGAGCTTTTGAACGTAATGGCTGAAGAAACCGCCGCTACATTGCCCGTGGTGACATAGAGCATAGCATTTAGCGCTAAAGTAGGAGTACTCTGGAGCGCTCCGCTGATTTCAACGTGGGCCGCCCTTCGCACGCGCTCTAGCTTCCTAACAAGAGTGGTCTTTTCCAGCGAGTTCCACCAGACAATGTTCCCATATAACATTAGAGGCCCCATCTCTTCCCTATGACATTCTTACAGCAGTAAAGAGCCACCGATACCTTTTTATACCCGAGCGCACTTGTGCACAAGGGTATTATAACTTTGTTCACATAACGGTTGTTTGTAACAGGCAAAACGAATCGAGATAGATATAGACAAATGTATACATAAATGATCAGAATGAAAAGAGAAATCGATTAAGCGGTGACTGTCTGTCCGTCCGTCCGTCCGTCCGTCCGTCCGTCTGTGCACACGATAACTGGAGTAAAAATTGAGATATCTTAACGAAACTTGGTATGTTAACTTCTTTCCGGCGTAGGACGGATGGTATTGAAAATGGTCAAAATCGGACGATAACCACGCCTACCTCCCATATAACGGTAATTTTAGATATACACATGTAACCATAAGTGGGCGTGGCTACGCCCATTTTCCAAAAATTTATAGTATTCTTAGTTTTTGTCTAAAAATTGTTATAAATATTAATTTTAATGAATAATCTTCAGTAGTTACTAAAATATCGCAGTTTTCGTATTTCTG